GAGGGGGAGGGAGAGGAGGAGGAGGGGGAGGGGGAGGAAGAGGAGGGGGAGGGGGAGGAGAAGGAGGTGAGTAGGAGGAAGAGGAGGAGGGGGAGGAAGAGGAGGAGGGGGAGGAAGAGGAGGGAGGGGGAGAAGAGGTGGAAGAGGAGTAGGGGGAGGGAGAGGAAGAGGAGGAGGAGGAGGAGTAGGAAGAGGAGGAGGGGGAGGGGGAAGAGGAAGAAAAGGAGAAGGAGGAGGAGGAGGAGGAAGAGATGGAGGAGGAGGAGGGGGGGAGGAGGAAGAGACGGAGGAGGAGGAGAGGGGAGGAGGAAGAGGAGGAGGAGAAAGAGCGGGAGGGAGAGGAAGACGAGGGAGAGGAGGAGGAAAAGGAGAAGGAGGAGGAAGAGGAGGAGGAGGAGGAAAGGAGAAGGAGGAGGAAAGGAGGAGGAGGAGGAAGAGGAGAAAGAGGAAGGGGAGGAGGAGAAAGAGGAAGGGGAGGAGGAGAAGGAGAAGAAGGAGGAGGAGAAGGAGGAGGAGAAGGAATAGAAGGAAGAGGAGGAGGAGGAGGAAGAAGAAGGGGAGGAGGAGAAGAAGAAGGAGGAGGAGGAGAAGGAGTAAGGAAAAGAGGAAGAGAAGGAGGAGGAAGAGAAGGAGAAGGAGGAAGAACAGGAGGAGAAGAAGGAAGAGTCTGATATATACAACATTATAATATTGATAAACCAAAGCCCCTTTTCACTATGTTCCTGCCACATGCATCATCCCCTTCAGGCGCTGTTGTTATTTACGGGGAGAACCTCGGCGCGTTTTCTGTGGCCGTCGCTCTTCAGGGGAGACTCAACGCGTCGCCTGTTCTGCGCTATCTTCTCGAGGCGCCGAAAGGAGAACTTAGGTCGAGGTATTTGCTGTGGTGTATCGTTATCATTATCATCATCATCATTATCATCAGTACCATCATCATTATGATCATTAGCATTAGCATCATCATCAGCACCATTATTATTATCATCATTATCATCATCATCACTATCATTATTATCACCATCATTATCGTCATCCTCATCACCATCATTTTCATCATCATTAATGTAATTGTAAATCATCGGTAACATTATTCTTTGAGTTAATGTTGTTTGTTAATTCTAATAAAACTTAGGTTTATGTTATTTACGTAATCTATTCATATTAATATTGTCTAACTATCAAAATAGTATTGATATTATTTACCTATTGGAATTTTGATGTCAGAGTTGTTAATCTATCGTATCATTAACGTAAATGTTAGTTTATCATAATGTTAATGACATTAATCCAACATACTAATTATATATCTATCAGAAAATTGTAAATCTTAGTAGTTTGTAATACTGCTATCTATTCATGCGTCTTTCCATACCATTATCAACATCAATGTTTCTTTCATTGAAACATAACATCGATATTTTGTTTCTCAATTGTAATAGTATCATTAACATTGTGCAATATCAACATTAACATCATTCTTCCTTCCCTCCCTCCCTCTCCCTCGCCCCCCTCACCCCCCCTCCACCCAGGGTCGTCATGCTGAATGGCCAGGGACTGCGTGTGACGTCATCGAACGAATTACCCACAATGCCCCCGGTCGCTGCCTCAGGGGGGGAGTTAGTTCTGCCGCCCACGTCCCTCGGGTTTTGGGTGCTGCCTCACGCCCACCTGCCTGCTTGTCTCTGAGCAGTTTTAGGAGCTGGGTGAGAGCTTAGATTAAAAAAATATATATATAAGTAAATAGATTAAATGAATAAATAAATAGATAAATAAATAAATAGATAAATAAATAGGTAGATAGATAAATCAATCAATAAATAAAAGATAAAACGTGGAAAGGGTGTTGGTGTAGTTTATATGTTGTTGTTTTTCTACATCTTTTTATGTAAGAATATGTCGAAATACAGTCCATGTTGCTGTTTATATTATTTTTCATTATTTATCCTGATTATTTCGAATATGATTTTTATGTCCGATAAATATATTTTCTTAAAGGAAGGTAATGAATTATACAGACTTTTATTTCTCTCCTTATCTCTCCTTAAAGATAATGCAATTATGAAAATAAAGATAAAAACTTGCAACGGCAAAGTAATAATCACTAATAATTAAAAGATAAAATTAAATAACATAAATGAGAGAGCAAATGTGTCTCATTACGTAACTGGGACTTTGTGTATACATACTTTGTGTATATATGTGTTTGTGCATATATACTTACATAAATTGGGAATCAAGACTTGCAGTTACCACAACAGGAGAAATAATTCTAAATTTCGAATAAGTCAGTTTATTTGATGATTAACTACCTTAAAAACTCAAACTGAAAAAATAGTACATTTGTATAATGCGGCATAAATATTTAGTTAATACTTGATCAACATGAGATTTCTTTCTTTTGCATTTGATATTGTAAATTTTCACACACATACTCACATGCGCGCACACACACACACACACGAAGATAGGTATTCTTAGTCGATTTAACAAACCAAATCGGATGAAATATAAAATAATGAGATTTTCCTTCCTCTTGTTCCTCCAGTTCTGTACAAATATCAGGAGTCATCCGTATCACAGCGTCGATAGCCTCCCAGTTCAGTACATTCTGGCCTTGGCAACCTGGTACACCGACTCCTTTTTCTGCAACACCACACAACAAAGACTAAAATCACAGCGAAGGATACCGCAAGAACTATTCCACCAAAGCACTCCAGTTTCTGCGTAGAGCTCATAGGATCAGAGTCCTGAATTTCAGACGTCAGCGTTTCGGTACTTGACACTGTACTGCTTGCCTGCGTTGTCATATGCTTCTGTACAGAGTGGAAGCACATTAAACAACTGTCTACTTGCCCTTGGTTTCCATCACTGCATTTAACATCAAGGAGCAACAACAACATATGGACGATGTTATTATCATCGTCTGACTTCGCCATCACACAGGGTTCTCTTTTTACAGAATAATGTCGACAACGAGTTAGATTCTTTAACTCGTCTTCGAATAGAGTTATGTCTCGTGTGCAGTTGTCAGACACATTCTTCATTTGGCAATCGTTCCTTATATTTCCTATAGGCTCCCACTCGTCTGCGTTGCCTTTCTGCTGCTTTATGTCTTTGCAATGCGGAATGCCGACTTCCTGAAAGCAGAATTCGTTCGTTATTGTGGTGGTGCTTTATACCAATTAGCTAGTTTAAAAAAAAAAAAAAAAAAAAAAAAAAAAAAAAATATATATATATATATATATATATATATATATATATATATATATATATATATATATATATATATATATTTGTTACAAAAAAAATTTGTTATACTATTTACTACTTATTAATTGGAAATCGTTGCTATCAAAAGCTATCAATGATTGTAAAGTTATCTTTGATTTAATTCTTTTCATACTATTTTTTCTTCAAATTTTGTGTTAAATTCTGCAGTGAAAATAATTACCACAGTTATTATCATTCACCACACACACACACAAACAAACACGCACACACACACACACACACACACACACACACACACACACACACACACACACACACACACACACACACACACACACACACACACACACACAGTCTCCCTTCCCTTTCCCTCACTCTCACTTTCACATACTCACTCTCACTCATACTGATACCGATACTCTTACCCCCACCCTCCCTCTCTCCTTCCCCACACTCTCCCATTCACCCTTAAACATAAATATCATATAATACGGTTACCTACATATAGGGCCCAGGTCAGCGAGGTAGCAGCACATAACACCAGAAATAGTACCGCTTTCAGCCGCCCGCCGCCCATGGCTTCTAGTCCGGGATGTACTGTTGATAAAAAAAAGAATAATCACCGAGGGAAGTTGCAGAATAACCCCCGTGTGACTGCTATAATAATATGAACAGTGTTTTTTTATGGTATTGCTGTTGGTTGAGTCTGTCTCTGGTATTAAGGGGTGACGGATAGTGGTGAATGCAATGAAAGTCTTAAGGGATAATTGCAACGGCAGTCTTGGTGATAACGATAGTGTCACACACAATAAAACACATACACGTGTATGTATGTGTGTGTGTGTGTGTGTGTGTGTGTGTGTGTGTGTGTGTGTGTGTGTGTGTGTGTGTGTGTGTGTGTGTGTATACATACTGCGTGTGTTCGTATGTATGTGTACATGGAAGTTTGTATATATGTATGTTTGTATATATGTATGTATAAATATATATATATATATATATATATATATATATATATATATATATATATATATATATATGTCTATATATGTACATATATATGTACATATATATGTGCGTGTGCGCGTGTATGTGCGTGTGTCCCTCCCATCTGTCTCGAGTGCCCGGGCAAATCTCCCTCACCCTCTCCCTCCCAAGCTTTATCTCTCAAAACCACTGCCAAGTCTGTGCGTCTGTATCACTAAGCACCCGCCAACACTATCAATATATCACATCTTTCACCCGACTGTAACACGGTTCACGAATGAAAAAAATAGATAAATAAATATGTATATATTTTTAATATATTCTAAAAAACAAATAATTTCTCATATTCAAGCACTCACATCACTATCCAAAATCACTCGCAAAAATTATCACAAAGTTGATACATCCGTGGCTTGATCTACCCGTTGCGATAGCTCTGTTAAGACTGCCTCGGATTCTCGACTAACGTCTATATTCATTATGCGTCTAGATAAGATATCAGGATTTCCGAGAAGAAATGATTTCACAGTTTCGGACAGAACTGAGATAACCGGTTCAACTGGCCTTGTGTACGCTCGTTTTTGGCCGTACGCCTGGCTAACGGGGCCGAATCCTCGCAATCTGGCGTGAAATCTAGGGACTTGAAAGGATTCCGCGACAACTCAGGCTTTCCACTGGCTTTCCTTACGCGCGGGCCCAGACCTATCTCCGTCCGGCCTGCCAGACGTAGTGTTTCAACTGCGGAAACAACCTCCGTGCCAGCCCAGATATATCCAAGAATTGGCTGCGCGGTGGCACGGAGCACAAGGAGAGTTTCCCTTATTTCACCGTAGTTTCGAGTATTGTGAAAGAATATACCAAAGTGATCATGGGTTAAGGAATGGGAAGAAGAAAGAAAAGATCTGAGTGCCACAATTATGGAGGACGGTCGCAGTTTTTACACATTTCGAACATGGAGGTGTTTTTATTATGACTAGTTGCATCTTATGAAACATGACCTTGAGGAGAAGGACACTCAGCTGAGAAAGGTAATTCCTCCAGATCATCGCTTGACATAAACACTTCGGTATCTAACAAGAGCTTAGTATTAAATTACAAATTAGTTTTCATCTTTTTTGCATGATTTTGTTGGTGTCCTTTTGCTGTTTATGTGATGTCTAATTATTTGTAAATAAAATCTGATGAAATTTAGATATTTATATATTTCAAGAATATTGATATATGAGATAATAATGATACTGATAAGTATAATCAACAGCAACTAGTACAAAGTGCAGTGGAATGAGTTTCAGGAATGCTTGTTGCTTGTTCTTGTGATTAAAATAAGTCCCCACTTTGCAGTAAAATTTATTAATTGATTATTTTCCTGTGTGTAAAAGTTCTTTTTTGTTCCAGATACTGCGGCAGGAGAATGGCTCTGGATCATTAGAAAAATATGTAGGCAGAAACTTCATGGATTTTATATTTCATTTAATCTTGGAAATCTACACTACTGTCACAGATGATGATATGATGTATAAGCTTTAATATCAAAACACCTTCATATCAATAAGGTTTATCAGATTTATCATTCGTATCCCTACGTTTTTAATTAACATTTTTCAATGCCATCCGCAGACAACGATAGTTATTATTGTTTTTATTATATCATTTATGTTTTAGCCTTGGACATATTCAGGCCTCCAAAAGTTTTGCAGGACGAATGAGATAAATAAATTATCTCAGACAGTTTCATGTTTTGTTTACAGAATGTGTTTGAATGGTCAAAAGAATATCATTTTACTACTTGTGTATGTATAATGGAATATGAAGGCGTAAACCCGTGTATCCTTTATATATGCAATTAATATCAATCAATAAAAAAGTGACAGATTCAAAACATTTAAAGGAGTGTGACGTTCGAAACCGATATTGATAGACGAAGGAAAAAATACGATGGGAGGAGCTTAGGGCCCGCGCGCATTTTCAACTGATTTCGGTAGTTCTCTATCGATTTATTTGTAATTTTAAGATGTTGATAACTAAGAACTTGTATTACAACGGTATTTCCTAATAAAATATCAGGAAAACAGTGATACGATAATTTAATATAATCTAAAAAAATATAACCCTAAAAATTGGGGGTGGAGTCGAACCTTTGGCAACAGCGTAGTAGCACTGGCACGTTGCTGTCGCGACCTACGAGGAAAAGTCGCGTTTAAGATTAGCGACACTCTAGTTTCGTAAGACAGCGGAAGTGAAGGCTTTGCATCGCACTTTTTTGCTGTCTCCTCGTTAAAAAAAGGAGGATTAAGGGTTTTTTTTTCCAAAGTGGGTCTTGATAAGGTCGGGTACGGCAAATCATTTTACTAATTTTCAGATATCTTTATTTTTTTTTTTTCTTTATGAGGTTTAAGCCTCGTTACTGTATTCTTTTCTTTTTCTTGTACGTTGCTGTTCTTGTTGCTACTGTTGTTACTGTTTTTATGTTGCTTTTGTTTATGCTGTTATTGATGTTGCTTCTGTTGCCTATAATATAAGGCGTCTTCAGTACGCGTCATGGAAGTTAATTCCACAGTACTTGCACAGAAGATACAAGGCACACTGTCAATGTGATTATCAGTAAATCTGCTGTATTACATGAAAATTGGGTATCTGTGTAATGGCAATTAGTACTCGCCCTCTACATGTTTCATATTATACGCTAAAGAAACGTTTGGTACAGAGGAAAAAGATAGGTGCATGTATGTATATACATATATATATATATATATATATATATATATATATATATATATATATATATATATATATATATATATATATATATATATATATATATATATATATATGTATATATATATATATATATACCTGGACGCTAGCATTATTTCGTGCCGGTATCTGTGTAAGTACAAATAAAATTACATAAATGGCTCCAAAAAGCCTAAAAAATACGATAGACAACAGATATGAAGGTATCAAACAAAATGAAGATACTCGTAATATCAATTTATATTCTAGGGATTTTTCTCCGAGATCTCTTTCTTGTGTGTGACCGCGGGGCATGGGTAAGGGTATTATCTTTCAGGGTGTTGCTAGCGAGGGTCATGATAACAAATGTTCAGGCAGTTTTGATGTCACTCTTGTTTTAAGAATCAGCAGATGTTTTTTCACTTTGTATTTGAAACCCAATGGTGATGTTATTAAAAGTTTTCTTTATTGTTCGAATAATATATTACGTAAATTGGGAATGCTTTTCCAACCTGGAAATAGCATTGCCTTTTCTGTGTCTGTAAACTCTGGAATTCTCTGTGGGATTTTCTTTTCGTTTTTCTTTTTAATGTTGAGAGTTATATCTGCAGTTTGAATATCCCATAACTTGTAAAAATATATATTAATGAATTTTCACATACACTGTTGACATGAAAATGTCAGAATTTGTTCCGTTATTGTTTATTATAAATATTGATGGCAACTCAACTCCATCTTTTCTATAGAGTTGATGACGTTGTCATGACGTATCAATACAGGATTAGCGGGATTAACTAGCTTGTTCTGTGAATTTGTAAGATTAACCTTTGAGCTAAAAAGTAAAGTCTGGTCGGAGGTGAATTAAATTTAATCCTGGATGCTTCCATTGCATATGCACACTGGAGAACTGGCTTACTTTAATGCTGGATTATTTTTTTACGGCTCTTATAGAAGACACCCAAAGCTGTATCTGGTAGAGTACAAACTCCCAACGCATTGGGACTGTGAGTGACGTCATTAATTCGCATAAAGGCTGATTGGCTGGTAAATGCACTGTCAATTCTTTTCGACTTACAGATGAGTTCAAGAAGAATAATGCACATAAATCAGTCAGTGCTTGTTTTTTGTTTTGTTTTGTTTTTTTGTTTGTTTTTTTGAGCTGCCGTGGTTAGTGTTTTCGTAAAATTGTATCAGTTTTCATCCTCGCTATGAGGAGAGAGACGTTATTTGACATTTACGCATCATCAGATTACAATAACGACATAATTTCTTTTGTTATTTTATCAGCTTTATATTAGCATGTTTATTTAACGTCATTCACTTTAAAAATTTCTCTTAAATTTTATAATAATCATTGATATCACAGTCATATTATATGTCCAAACTTCAGACAAGCACATGTTATTGACAATATACATAATAAAAAAAACAAAACAATTGAGACACCGTGTGTTTGAGAGGAAAAGTTGCCAGATATTTCCAATGTCCACAACGAAAATAATCTGTGTTCATGGTTTATTTTCTTGATCTCTAGATGCAGAATGACCTAGAAAAAATAGTAGTAACGAATTTCAGGCTTGTTTTCAAGCTAAAAGGGTGAAGTTTAACGGATGCCGTAAAATCGCACATTTTTCTTGATCCACCAAAGACGTTATTGGTCGGGTTTTACTGCAGAGGAATAGGAGGAGGAGTAGGAGGAGGGGCAGGAGAAGGAGGAAGAAGAAGAAGAGTGATATATAGACCATTATAGTAATGATAAACCAAAGCCCCTTTTCACCACATGCATCCTCCTCATCAGGTGCTGATGTTATTTACGGGGAGAACCTCGGCACGTTTTCTGTGGCCGTCGCTCTTCAGGGGAGACTCAAAGTCGAAATCGCTACGTCATTTTCGCTCTCTTTTCTTGGATATTCAACAAAACCAGCAATAAACAGAAACACTGACATTCATTGAAGTCTGTCATTGGTAATTTGCTCCATAAATTACCTTTACTCTCCAACCTCCTGTGTCTTTTAATGTTCAAATGACTTTCCTGCTTATACAACATTTAAGTTGCTATTTTCTGATATCTTTTCCCGCCATTAACGACTGCTGGCTTCTGTAGTAAGAATGGCCGGTTAAGTCATTGCATTCGAAACTACTGCAACGTGCCACATTTTTGGCGGGATTTTATTTTTTACACGGATTGTCAACTTTTATCAAGAAATCGTTGTATTTTTTTGTGTTGGGGATGATAACTGTTTCTCGTACGTTGACCTGCGTTTACTGAAAGGTATTATGAATCCTGTGGCTGCGTAATGTTTATCTTTTTTCCGTATAATTATTTTTCATTTATTTTTCCTGTTGCTTAATATTTAAGCCTTTCTTATCACTAATGTTAAATATTTTATGACTCGTTTTTCTTTACTATATATATTTTTTCCTGTTGGTTATTCTTTGAGCAAATGTTACTGTTTTTTTCTTGACATTTTATTTTTCTTACCATTCTTATCGCGATTTGAGTAAGATAAAGTATATTTATATCTAATTCTTATATATTTTTTAACTTTCTATCAATATCTCTTGGTTCAAATCTTTATTTCATTTCTCTCTCTCTCTCTCTACTTAGTAATTAGCAGTTACTTATAACTGGATGGTTCTGAGGTAGTTAATAATCATTGATAATTAGGTGGTTCCGTAGTAATTGGCAGTTAATGATGATTATGTGGTTCTGGAGTAATCAGCAGTTGTTAATGATTAGCTGCTTTTGGAGTAATTAGCCGTTACTGATAATTAGGTAGTTCAGTTATTGATTGTTTTTTTCAGGTAAATAACAGGGTTAGAGAGAGAGAGAGACAGAGAGAGGACGCATTCTTTAAATATTTGATCACATGACTCACAAGCAAAATTATTTTTTGTTTATTTTACATGTTTATTTGTAATCATGCATGATAAACACTGTGAAATCACACATTAAATGATTAAACGAATCGCAGAAGGCACGACTCTGCAACCTGAAGCTCCACATACTTCCTGTCACATTGGGTCCACAGCCTCGTCCTCGTACTCT